CGCGCATTCCTTTCCGAACAACCTAATATTACAAGTGAAATATACGAGTAGTCAGGAACATAGGTGGTGAACTTATGATCAGATCCCTTCTAAAGTAACACGGAACGCCAATCTCAATCTCGAAACTTTAGCACTCAGAAAGAGGAAATTAGATTTGATAACGTTCTTCAAGATTTTTCATGGTCATTCGGGGCTCAAGCGAAATAATTTGTTATTCTTCAGAGAATCGAGAACTAGGGGATGCCCTACAAAATTTTCTATTGCCAGGGCTAACGCAACGTCAGACGCCACTTTTTTGTTTACAGAGCTAGTTCGGATTTTACTAGGCTGCTTAGACTAGGTATTTTTTCGACGGGCAAGCTAAGTTCATTCGAGAAAGCCTTAGAAAAGTATCTTACATCCTAGTATACTTTGTTAAGTCCTTCGTTTTTTTTTTGTTTTGTATTTCTTTTTTCTTTTTCCTTCACTATGTAGCTCCTAGTTAACTTTAGATTGCCTAGGAACTTTCCTCTTGTTCATTACTTCTTAGTTTTTATGTTTCTCATTATTTTAGCATGGGTGCTATCCTGTGCAATAAACAATTACAATTACAATTACAACTTACAAAAGAAGTTTTGAAGTGAACGACACTTACTTAGTGCAGCTTTCTTTTCGAAATGGGACAAGTTTATCAAAAACTGTTGTTTTTGGGTTTATAATTAGAATGACGACCAATGTAGGCAACAAAAGATGATAAGATTGATACTGCACATGAAAATGCAGTTGCCACAAAATCGCTAACAGCTCTTTCGGCAGTTCAGATTTAGCAATGACTTATGAAATAAAAGATAGGATGAGGACACTATGAATTATTATAGGTTGAAGAAGCTATGAATTATTGGGCGACCAAAACTGTAAGGACTGTTAACAGTGACGTATTTGGTAACACACAACGAAATTGTAGCTAACGGGACCTGTTAGAATTTTTACAAAGCATTATCATCATCGAAGGTTCAATGAGAACAATTCTGCGCTAGCGATAATATCGAGACTTCTTCATTCACGAACTCCTTAAAATACCAGTAAGCCATTTGGACAGCCCGTTTTGGGACGGTATCCCCTCCTTTTCATGCAAACTGAGGCTGTCTGCAGCTTTACTCTTTTCATTACTATTTCATTATCTTACATTTTCTGCTAAAACTTCTGAACGAAAATTTCTAGGACATAAGTGCATGGAATTATTTGGTTACTGGATCACTGATGCTGAAACGGGCAGTGCAAGTGGTTTTCGGTATTTCATGACGCTTGCACTTAAGACTACGTAGCTTCCTTATTTACCTGACGACAAAAGTAGCATGGTAGGAGTGTTTGGACGAGAATGTAACGGCACAAACTGCATGTTAGGGGTGTTCGGACGAGCTGTCCAAATGTGCAGGCCATCGTACAGCTTGCTACAGTAAGCTGCCCGCGTGCAACGTGGGAACTGTGCAGCCTCTACAGCCTCTTGTGATAATTCGTCCGCCTTTGAGTGCGCACGGCAACGACAGTTTAGCACATCCTTATCACTCCCTATCCAGGCGGCTTTTCGGCCCTTGTGCTATCCTTGAAAGTCACAAGTCATCAAAGGGAAAACCTCAGAAACCATTTTTATTGTGATCTGTGCTTTTAATCTTTGTGAGCAATAACTCCACCAAACGCTATTCTTTTTGCATTCTCATACGCCGCACATATTCGTTACATTTTGACGATATACTCTCTACTCTATTAGGAAATGGTCAGTAGGCTGGTGAAAAGAATACGCGGTTATCCTTCTTCTCTAACACACATGCATATATTATTTGAATCATTTGACTGTCCTGCCAACGCTCGAGCTCTTTACCTTTTGTAACAATGTAGGCTTCTTGAAATACGACGGAAACACTCCTCACCATCGCTAATTTAATCCGACTCTTATAACACTTTCAGCAGTTGTGTCACTTTACCCCTGCTGATAGCAGGAATCGAATTTGATTATCATGCTCTCTGAATCAATCCAATGAATCCTAGTGAACCTGATGAAGAATTTCCGGAGAAATTGCAATCAGAAAGTAGGAAAGAAAATCCTCGGAATAGCCTGGAGGTTAGGGCTATAACACACCACCTCATGAGGGAGGGATTGTCTCATGAGACTACGATCTCGATCAAATCAATTTACATGAAACATCCTCAGACCGGTCAGCCGCAAGTATGCCAACGATGTCGTCAGCGTTCAACCAGACTACATTATAAATGGATGCAGCACAGTAAGTGGAAAATGCTAACCTCAGATACCCACAGGAATCCAATGTAAGCAATCGCCTTTGTTTTGGTCACGTTGAGCGTCTTCGTCAACTTCACGTAGAACCGATCGCCCTCGACTTCTTCACATGCGAATGAGCGTACTGTGCGCATTGTCGATAAAACCTAAATTGATCACTCATCGAACTTCGAAATCAAAATAAACCGGTAAGCGGTCCGTAAGCAATCCTGCAATAACCCGTCATGTAAATAAGAATAAAACATGAAGTATTACATAACAGCACACCTATAGAGAAGACTCTCTATGCTAGGAGACCTGTGGTGAAATAGTATCACATCACTGCGGTCGACTCCCTATTTTATGGTGTTACCCATGAAGAATTTTTTCCATGTTAAGTCATTTGTTACTTAAAGACACGGTTCGCGATAATTCAATGGGCGGGCACGTCAATGACGTGTCCGCCTCTCATTCGACGCCACTTCAGACTGTCTGACGTGACATCGAATGAGAGGCGGACACGTCATTGACACACCCGCCCATTGAAACATCGCGAACCGTGCCTTTAAGGAAAACACTATCTATTGGCTGAGCGGATATGCAGAATGTAGTCATTCCCGCTCATTGTGCTTTGATTATCCAAGCACCCGATTGGAGCGTGAAATCAGAAAACAGAAGCGTCGATCGAATCTGTCTCGGACACTCGCAGGAATGGCAGAAAATGCTATATTTGAACTTCCTAAATGTTTTCACTCCTGAATGGTGCAACCCCGCCAATGAACTCATCTGAGCATACACACGAGACAATCTTTCCATCTTAACAGTGCCACGTATGGTATACATAAGAGGAGACAGAAGCTCAGCAACTTAGCAAGATTTCTTATAAGCCATTTCAAAGTGATCTCTGCCCTTAACTTCGCGTTTAATTCAACGAATGGTCCAAGTAGTGGGTTGCAGATGCCGTTGAAACTCTTAAGAGCATACACACCGGAAATGTTTGAGCCTTTACAACGCCCTAACTAATTGTAAGTTGTTTTCCGACCTGATAGCACCAGATATGGTATACGAGGGGCTTAGGATTCGTCCTACGTAGAAATCTTACAAACCGTTGTTATCGGGAACTGAGCCTTATGTTATGAAATAGCAACTGACTTCTTCAGCAACGTCGTTGGACTCGGCAACAGCATTTTGTGTTCGCTCGGACAGTATCTACAAGGATAATAATAAATCCCATTAGAATGGTATCTCACTTATGCGTCAAACGAACGCATTGCAGTTGTTCTAGCAAAAAGGCCTGGTCATTTGAAAAAAGTCATCAGGTTAATCGTAAACAAGCAATGAGAGGAATATGTTTTCTACATTATGGCTTAGTTTAAAAAAAGTATGTTCGACTCACATCATAGTATGACCCAAATATTTTGGAAGCAACAAATATGATTGGCACAAGGATGAAGGTGATTAGTGAAAGTCGCCACGATAGGGTCATCATGAAAATCATTGATCCCATCAGCATAACGGCATTTCTAGAATTGTTTACGGTAACAGGAACACTATAATAGTTTTGTGAATTGAGTTACCTTAGAAAAACGTTCACATTCATGGCGACCGTGTCGGACATTGTCTGACAGTCAGCGGCGAGCCGGGATGTAATTTCTCCTGAAAATTACTGCTGGTTACGACGAAAAATCTGTGTAGAAAATTGACCCTCTCTTTACAGGCTTATGCTATAGCTCTCAAAACACTCTTGAAGTTCGTAGGAGATTCCTGGACTTGAGAAGGGCTAAAAGATTTCTACTTTTATGTTATTCCCCCCATCTGAATTTGTACCTCTCTACGCACTTACATACCATTTTGATCATGTGATCCATTTTATTCCCATTCATTAACAACAAGTGCTAAGAATCTTCCTCAGCAATGGAACATTGACCTGTTTTGTGGGCGTCAAAGAAGGCGACATCCTGCCTGACGAGACCCGTGAAGAGATCGTGCCTTAGTGATCGGTTGATCCTAGAGTAGGCGTACTCGAACGATCCACCACGCAGCCCAGCAGCTATCGCACTGAAAGAGAATAAGAGAACAGTACGAAGGACAGTATGAAGTTCAAGGGTTGGCTGCAAGAGGCACCACATTGTATGCCGTGTTCAAAAAAGTTATCAGAGAAATTCCAAGTAATCCTGGCAAAGCTGTCTTCCGAGGCACTGACATCATTATAGCCAAGAGCAATATTTGTTCTTTGACGCTTCGCTACTTACTCCTCGATATTTTTGCCTCTCCCAGAAATAGCCATATGCATAAAAAGGAATTGAGAGAGAGCTAGTCGTCAATAAAAAAGTGACCCTTCAAATAGCTAGCAGAACGCTTTAGCCTGAAAATGGCTGTATCATGAGTAGCGGTATGAAGGGACTCCGCCTACGTTTTACAATGAAATTCGGACGTTCCAATTATTGCTGCGAAACACTGAACCGTCCACATCGACTTATGCTTGATAGTGCATTTTTTACGAGTTCCGTCTAGAGCCGAGGTCTGTCGCAAGGTTTGAGCTGCAGTAAAACTGGACACATTAAACGTAGGGAGATTTCTGCATCGATTACAGAAGTTCTGCGAATGGAACTACAAGTCAAGACCAATAACAATTGGGACGCCTACTAACCATAGACTCTTATCGGACCTGGGAGCTCTTATACAGCAATCCATATGTCTGCAGGAATCCGATGACTTGCTGCAAACATGCAGCGCTCCAGAGAGAGACATGACCCTTTTCCCTATATAAGTAAGTCGTACAAGCTATGGATTCGACACGAACCGAATGAAGCTTCTATGTAGACACTGTAAACATTTGCCAATTTTTTCCGTCCACATGTCGCTTTTCCAGGCTGGAACGGATCGTTACTGAGGTTGAGAAGAACAACAGCCACTACTAGTTCCGAGAGGCGAGCTCCACCCGATAAGGGTCATGAAAAAATCCACGGTAGATGGGGATACAAAACCACATCAACACTGACAAGCGCTGATTAGGAGCAACACAGTGTGAGGACAACAGGATGTGCTTCATCCATAAACTCGCACTGCCACCTCAACGTCTGGATAGGGAGTTTGACAGCTCAGAAATTTGGAATAGGGCTTGTTATTGCCACGTCTAGCATTATTCCAGTATTGGCTGGAACAACCTTCACCAATTCCACCACATTCTTGGAGGCTTTATAAAAGAGCCAATATCTACGAAGATAGGAAGCATATTGGTAGTAATTAAATCGACACTGATTTCGGTGTCATCGCTCGTCTACAACATTAGTAAGTATTGTTAGGTCATCGGCGATGCTGCTCGAATCACCTCAAGGGAGAGGTGCAACAGAAGTCCTGGTGTGGAACATCAAGAGAATAGGCGAGAGACAAACTTCTTGATCACAAAAAAAAATTGTCAGCAGCAGTTATGAATCGTTTATAGATGGAAGAGCAATGTTCCAAGTTGGCCCGGCCAAACGATTCGCCAATTATAAAAAGGGCGTGGAGGACACAACGGCTTTCACTTTCTTCTTCGAAGTAACAGTTTTTATCAGATCTTATCGGTTCCTCACGCTTGGCACACCAACAAATCCCGTTGGTTTCTAAGTAGGTTCGCTAGTTTTTTTCTTGATTGTACTTAGAAAGATTCAATAATGAATTCAAGTGGAGAGTAAAGCTGAAATAGCATACTTCGGGACACATTATTTCGAGGCATATTTTTCCATGTACAGATCAATTTTCGACCAACCTTACAAGTGAGATGATGATCATGATATAGATGGAAGATGCCAGTGATGCGTATGATTTTGTCGCAACCACAGTCGCAATAACCTGGCCGGTATAATATGGTGAGAAGATTCGGGCTAAATATTGAAAGAGTTAATTGAAAAGGGTAAGTAATCATTGCGATTTAGCTGCTGAACCTCCTGTATTTCGAAATAATTTCAGGTAGTCGACACAAA